AATATATGAAGAGCCCTAAAAAATTTAATGAGTATACTTATCAAATTATATTTAGTTTTATATCAAGAATAACTATATTTATTATTTGATTAAGATTATGTTTATGATATTTTTATATATGGTCGTTTATAATAAACATAAACGTTTGTTAAGGACTAAGTCCAGTTTAATGTTTCAAGGCTAAGCCTTGTTGTACTGACCAGAGTAGGTACAGTACCTAACCTAGCTAACATTACCAAAGTCAGCTTATTTATACAATTCAGTATTCAAAACAACAATTTGATTGGTTGAGAATAATATTGTATATACCATGCAATAAGTAAGAAAGACAGTAACTTTTAACTGTTAACTTAGATTACCGTAAATACCCATCCTATTACATGTCTATATATTCAGTCTCTATTGATGCAAAAATATGAGTGGTCTGACACAACAACAACCACTTTCAAATAACTGAAAACTGGTATTTCTTTGTTTTGACAGGTTTGACTGTATCTGTTAAAGAATGCATATTTCTCAAATTCTGATATATATATATTTTCAGGTGATGTGATAAACAGGAACCGGACATGAAATCAGTGTAACTCGACATTTCGGTCCTCTAAGTCAGATGTGTACAAAAAGTTCTACCTCGTTTTAATTGAAAATGGCAGTCTCTTTGATGATTTTCATTGTAACCTTGCTCCTGATTGGTCAAGTGTTTACCCAAGATGCAATAGTATTTTACAGTGTCAGGGAGGAACTTCCTGTTGATACTTATATTGGCAGTATTGGTCTGGACAGCAAACTATTCTCAAACATTACCACGGATCGATACAATGACCTCCAATATAGAATTTCTACTGAAATAAGCAACACTGCAACATATTTTAAAATTGATACAAATGGTCTTTTGTTTATACGTAATAAAATTGACAGAGAAAATATCGAATTTTGCGATGATGACTGTTTTCTAGAATTCAATGTTATTGTCTATGAATTAGTGGAACCAACCTATCTTATAAAAGTTCAAATTGAAGTTCAAGATAGAAATGACAATGCTCCAGAATTTCTGCCAATCGCAAGTCCAGTTCAGGTTCTGGAATCCCTTAGTGTTGGTTCAGTTATCATAACCGGAGCTGCAATTGATCTTGATCAAGGGAAAGATAACTCTGTTCAAACTTATCGTTTAAAGCCGGACTATGGCATATTTAATCTCACTGTAATGGACAATATGGATTTTCAGATCCGTCTGACTAAATCCTTAGACAGAGAAACAGAGCCATTTTATCAAATTGTCGTATTTGCAATGGATGGCGGTGACCAACCACTGACAGGAACAGTAACCATAGATATTGAAGTAACTGATGACAATGATAACGCGCCTATATTTTCAGAACAACTTTACAACATATCCGTGTATGAAAACGTGGCTGTAGATTCAGTAATACTTAAACTATCTGCCAATGACATGGACGAATATGATAATGGAAAAGTTTCATACAAATTCAGCAATCGTATCTCAAATAAAATATCTGAGCTACTTCGCGTTAATTCAACAAGTGGTGAAATTTACACGATTGGTGTGTTGGATTTTGAAACGGATAAAGAGCTTAACCTTCAAGTGGTGGCATACGATCATGGAATCATTTCAAAATCATCAACAGCGAGCGTAATTATTAAGATTATGGACATCAACGATAATGCACCGATTATCAATTTAAACGGGATACAGGAAGTGCTATCTGAGTCTTCAAGTATCGGACAGTTTGTTGCTCACGTTGAAATTAAGGACCTTGATTCTGGTATGAATGGAAAAGTTTTTTGTAATGTTTTCGACAATTTTTTCAAGCTTGAAACAATGGGTAGTGAAAATTATTACAAAATCGTGTTGAACCGGACATTGGATCATGATAGTAAGGCATATCACAATGTTACGATTTTATGTCAGGATCTCGGCGACTTACCGAAACAAACATTTGCGAGTTTCTTTGTTCAAGTAAGGGATATTAATGACAATGCCCCAGTATTTACAGCATCAGTTTATGCAATATCGGTTGTTGAAAATAACAACAAAGGTGCTTCTATTATCAGTATTTTGGCAATAGATAAAGATAGCAGTCTTAATGGACAGGTTTATTACTCGCTCCATGTAGAATCGCAAGGACTGTTTGTTGTCGATTCGACTACAGGGCTCATTAGTGCAAACGTTAGTCTAGATCGTGAAACTCATGGGGAAGAAAGTATATTTCGAGTGTTTGCCACCGATAGAGGGGAACCAGCACATACTGCTACTGGGACAGTGGTCGTGAATATTCTTGATTTGAACGATAATGATCCAAAATTCAGTAGTGACCCATTTTATCTGGATATTCTAGAAAATCAACGAGTTGGATCAGTTGTAGGAAATGTGTCCGCCTCAGATCCAGATGCTGCTTTAAATGGAACATTCTATTTTAAATTTCCGGAAGAACCGAATATCCAGGAATACTTTGAATTTCATGACTCTGGGGTTATTAAAACAAAAAAGATGCTTGATCGTGAGTCAATTATGATACATGAATTTTATGTACATGCAGTCGATATGGGTGGGCGAACTAGTTCTGCTCTTGTTTTTGTAAATGTTAAAGATGTAAACGATAATGTTCCGGAAATAATCTACCCCAATGAGTATGATAACACTATCAGCATCCCATTCACACTTAAAGAAAATTCTGAGGTAATTGAAATTGATGCAAGGGACTATGACAGTGGTGTGAATTCTAAACTTTATTATTTCATTGACGAGAATAATGCAAGCTATGCATTTAATATAGACAGTAAATCGGGAAAAATGTTTTTAAACAAAAGTTTACATCAAAAGGATGTTGGACAAACATTAAGATTTAAAATACGTGTAAAAGACGGAGGTGCACCGCCTTTAGAATCTTCGATAGATTTATATATTCAGGTCATAGACGGCCCACTTGCTGCCTCTGTAAATTTTAACTTGTGGATTGTGATCGGAATTATAATTTTCACAGCAGTTGTTTCTGTGATTATGATTATCATTATCGTTAAAATTTGCTGGTGTAACAGACTGAAGTCCTCGACAGGAAGTACGTCAGATATCATCATGGAATCAAATGAAGTTGATCCCCGACTTATAGATTCCTCATCGTCTGCTTCAACTTCATCGAAAGATTCAAATGGAAATGAAAAGATTAAGGACGAAAGTCTTCATATTCAAGATGGCTACCAGAAAGGTTACTACAATAATCTAGACGAGACTGGTTACTTTACGAACTCAAGTTTAAACTCAATCGACAATCAGATGTATATAGAACAAGTTAAACAGGTATGACCAAAAAAATCTTACTTTTTTTAAAATTTCTGATATTACAGGTAAAATTTGGTGGTTATCATGTTGCTGGATCTGCTCTTATAAGGCATTGGGAGTAAGAACCTGAGCATGAGACTGGGGTGTGCCCTTCTTGGAGAGACCCATCATGTAGCAGAATACAATTTATGGTTAATTAAATACAGGATACTTCTCAGATTTGTAAGTCCAGGGTGGCTGGTTCAATCCTAATGGGCAAGATGACAATTGTCCTTGGACATTGTGTCTTATTGTCATTAATGTGGGATAAGTAGGTGGCGCTCTATTGAGAAAAAATTGATAATTACTTGTTAGTTATGTAGGCTACCTGGTAAGGTGGAATGACTGCAGAGATATGACCAAAAATGTGTTAACATAAAAAAAACAATGGATAAACAAAATTATGATTCATGATGAAAATTAGGGGAGATAACAAGTTGTTCCTGCATTATTTAGAGAGTTACAGTTTTAACAATACAGGTAAATCTGCTAAAAACATCATGTCCAAATGAAAGTTGAAATTTTTGAGACTGGTTTTACAATGTCATTTTTTAAGTTGAACATTTTTTGAAAGCTCTAGCATCATAGATGGATGGCCTATACAACCATTCTAGTGCCAGGCCAGTGTACACCTTGATACCATCTGATCTGAGCTTCTGTATTGTTGGCTTAGTTTTTATTTCTTTAACTCTTAACCATGCTAATTTATAATCTTAAATGGAATATCTTTCAATCTGGACAAAAGAATTTGTCATTGTTTGGAAAGTTTTTAAAATAAGTATAATTGACTGAGTCGCGAACAGTGCAGACCATGATCAGAAAGCATGGATGTGCTTAACTGATCTTGATTGGGTCACTAGTTGCATGGGTAGAATCTATTTCGATAATAATATCATTGGCAAATCACATGATGAGTTTTTGTTTTAAGACTAATTTGTGAAATCAATAATTAATCTGTTGAATAAAATAAAAAAGAAAAAATGAAAAAAAAAACCACAAAAAAGAGAGAAACACACGCAATTGTAATAGCTTCCAAAAAACTAATTTTCTTAACTTTAAGTTTTAAGCTAAGTGGATTAACGATTCTCCTGGATTATTCATGCATTTCAAATATGAGCATGAACAAAAGTAATAAAAAAACAAAAGCAGACAAATTGAAATTAGAAAATTGCATGAAAAGTTGCATTTCAGTTTTCTGGCTCCGACAGGACTTGTGAAATATAATCAAAATTACAAAATCTGATCAAAGAGAGTAACAGAAGAATTTTTTTTTCAATTTACCATTTTCTTTCACTCATGTAATTATTTAATATATTAAGCAATAGCCTTTAATCCTTTTAAGTCAAATCTTGGCATAAAGCATCAAAAAGATATTTTTAAGGTGTACCTATAATTTTAAATCAATTAAAACCAAATTATTACAATTTAATTACAAAGTAAACATTTTAAAAATCAACGCAAAAGTGGCAAAAGTTTGTTTCATAACAAGTCCTTGAACGATTACGATACATGTATACTGATATCGTACAGATTGTTGTTTACACGATCGCTTCAGTCGAGATTAATACATTTTCGTGCCATACGACACTTTCATGACACTCGGCAATAATCGTTTCAAGTACATAAAAGAAGTGAAATTAGTTTTAATTACTTCTAATTAAGAAAAAGAGGACAATTCGTTCATTGTCATAACAAGGGCTTATTTGCGCCCAATTTAAATCGAGAAAAAACAATTTTCAAAAGGCTGGTTTAGGATAACGACTGAAAGGAAAAAGTAGGAAACAAACATAACACAAGTAAAAAAGCGCCGCAAAGGAGTCAAAATAAGATATTGTAAATTAGTTAATTGGACAGTGAACAATATGGTTGTGACAATGCTATCATTTTGTTATAAATTATGGTAAAGAAAAAAAAATCAAATTTCAAAGTAGGGACTAGTTCTTTTTCCTTTTCTTCATTTTAATTTTAGCTTTTGTTCTGGTATTGATAATTACAGTTATTTTGACATTAGTAATGATAATTTGTGGGTCTTCAGATAATGACTATAGTCTTCAACATGGGTTCAAGGTACCAGGCTTTGTCATTTTTACAGACTTGTTGAGACGCTGGCCCCTTTTTGACAAATGACTAATCCCTTAAAACATGTGTTCAAAAGAAGAATTTCTTTCATATGCATGATTAATAATTTTGTGAGTGACTAATTCATGTTAGTTGAATTCCTGTTTTAAAATTTGTTGAAAAAAAAAACGATGCAAAGAAATTTAAATATATACATGTGTATTTGTTCAAAAACAAATTTGTAAGTGTCACAGTAGTTGTAGAATTAAAGTGAAACATACTTAAGGAACTTTGCAAAAAAATAATTCAAATCATTAAATTTTACGTAATGCATTAAGTTTATGATTCATATGTTATCTAGGAAAATATCTTCCCAGGCATTAAATATACAAAAGTTCAAAATTATGCATGCATGCAATTTTTCCTTACCGTTTTAAACTGATCATGCTTTGAATTTGAAATGATCCATTATTAGGTTTTAAGAGAGTTCCATGTGTACATGTCCCTTATCGCTCTAGGTTCAAATCCTACTAATGTGACTCTGGATTCTTTTATATGGAGAAGATTTCCAGTTATCTGACAGAAGGTTGGTGGTTCTTTTCGGATTGAGGCCTCCGTGGCTTGGTGCTTAAGGTTGCCGACTTCAAATCACTTTCCTGATGATCACTCAGGAACGTTTGATTTTATCATGTCAGCAAGCTATCCAGCTAGCTAAAATGAGCCGCGCAATGACAAAACCAACATAATGGGTTTGCGACCAGCATGGATCCAGACCAGCCTGCACATCTGCGCAGTCTGATCAGGATCCATGCTGTTCGCTATCAGTTTCCCTACTTGTTATACGGTTTGTAAGCGAACAGCATGGATCCTGATCAGACTGCGTGGATGCGCAGGCTGGTCTGGATCCATGCTGGTCGCAAACCCATTATGTTGGTTTTGTCATGACGCGGCTCAAAATTAATAATGTTGGTGTTTCTGCTCAAGATTGAAAAATTTACAAATTCATTACCTGAGGTTTTCCTGCACCAGTATAGCAGGATAGTCACCATTTGACTGTGAGTAAGAGAGCCAGCATTACACTGATATTCGGAACTGGCTTTTTAACTTATTTTTTTACATTATTGTGATTTCAGTTTGGTTACGAGCTTCAGAAGAAAATAGATGAGACAAACAGTGATAACTCTGGTGAGATAGGAACCAGGGACAGTGGTCAAGGTGGTAGTGATGTTGATATTAATAGCCTGACAGAGTTACCTGTCCTTGATATTCCAGGTAAGCAAGAGTTTTCTCCCTTTTATGGTCTGGTTTTTCATGGTTCTTTTTCAAGGGTGTAAGAGAAATTGATTAATAAAGGACATAAAGGCCATGTGAATGCAAAATGAAATGCAGTGACATTGAAGTTATAAATCTAATGTCTTTTTGTGGTTTTATAAAAAATACATTTTTAAGTGTTTATGCAGAAAAAATTAAATTCCTATTAAATTCCAATTTTCAGAGGTCAGAGGTAAGTGACTCAAGGTCATGAAATTAATCCATGGGTCATATGGGTTCTAGCAAAGGAAAGAATTCAGACATTGTTAAAATTATTAAAAATACTAATTTTGTAGTTTTGAAAAAAATAATTTACATGGTTGTTTTTTTTTAACTTGAAACACAGGCATTTGGTACATTTGTCTTGCCAATAGTGGTCAGATTATCATAAAATAACCTCCCCTTGATCACCAAGTCCACCAACTTTTTACCTTATATAAATTACATGTATATACGATGTATAGTTAACAGTTGCAGGATAGTAATTTTGTTCTTGATTATCAAGGGGATATAATTCCGACCATTATTGGCAAGATAAATGTGCTGAAGCCTGTGAGTTTGAACAGTTTTCTGACTTTCTGATTCATGAAACTGACAATAGTCTGATAAATCTTGTCTTACAAGTTTAGAAATTGTTAAAATCTTAAATATATATTTCATCAAATTATATCATTTTAATTTCAGAAAGTCCAAACGGCAATTTTTTGCCTCCGCCATGTGCAGATATCAACAGTGAATACATAGATGGAAGTGGACATAGAAACGACTTTTACAATGACAAGTTACCTCCCTTTACTCATCAGACATATATTGAAAACTCTATAAATAGTAACAGTGACAGTGATCAGTCATTTTACCCTAGAACTGCAGTCAGTTTTTGTAATTATCCTACAAAAACTGCAGAGAGGAGAGAAATCTCAAAGTTGCGAAAAAGTCAAAAACGGGTCATGTTTAGTGATGACCTTGAAAACTCACAGTCAAGTGAAAGGTCAAATATTTTATCAACATATTCAAACTCTGATGTAGGTCAAAGTAGTGAATCAATTTTAAAACCGCGTAAATTTCATCGAATGCTCAGTGAGGACATTACAAGTTCAACGGGTCAAATTAATCGTGGTAACGATTGGTTAAGACGTTCTGCAGATAGTTTCGCAAGACGGCCAAATAACGACAAAATATACAATCAGTTACCTAGCAACCAGATCAAATTTGGAACAGGAAATGACTTTAGAAATAGGCCAATGGGTAGCAATATTAAAACATATTTAGAAAAAGTAATGGAAAAATCAAAATCGAGTAGTTCAAGTGATAGTAATGTGCCAAAATGGTCGGAAAGTGATACCGTATATTCAGTTGACACATTAATGTCGGATTCTACATACAGAGATAGTGACAGTATTATGACATCGGGAACGTATGATTTGAATTCAATTAATCTTGCCAGTCCGTCATTTTCAGATGATGCTTTTTCAAGAGACATTGAAATATAAATATGTTAATATATATTGTCATAATATTTAAGTGACTCACTTTATGATATCATCTCAAAAATGTTTCTTTTGTTCTGCATTCTTTAAAATGACAAATAGATATCTGACAGATTTCTGTAGATATCTTATACATGTAATATTTTAAAAATTCATAAAGATATGTAAGACGACCAAACACTTCAAAAACAGTGATGAAAAATTAAATTTTTCTGTTCATTTTTACTGACTTTAGAAAATAAAATCACTGCAATTATTTGTCATGTTCAGTGCACAACTCCTTTGTTCTAAAAATTTCAATGTACCAGTACATAGTTTTGTTACACCTTTCAAAGAGTACCTTTAACTGAGTATGTTTAAGAAAATTTACTACATGTATTTTCCTTGATCAGGGTAAAATATTCGTGATTTTTACTTTGTTTTAAACATCTTTTTGGGATGATTCATGTAAGTAACAGCTACATATTATTTATACATGTATTCATTTTCAGTGCACTGTTGTAATTTAGGTAAAATCTTTTTCATGCATTTTACTCTATTCTTATACATGTATTGGTAAAATGAAGAAGTTAAAAGAATATCACAAAATTTCATTGAAATATGTGAAGTATATTGAACTAGAGAATTCAAAATCTATTTAACCGAAGAACATGTACATATGTCCAGATTTAAATTATGTTTACATGTAGTATATACATGTTGTTAAGATCCTAAATAATATTTGTTAGCGAAAATATTTGTATATTGCTGTAAATACACTTTTAATATAGTATGTATTTATTCTGGAAAGAGTTAGATCATTTCTTTATTTGCAGGTAATGTTTTTTTTTATATTTCATATACATTCAACTTTATGTGAAACATATTGCAGTTTTTTTTGTATAAATTCAGTTTTGAATCTTTATTTTATATTTTATTTTATTTATTTTATGTGGTGGTCAAAAAGCTTGTGCTCAATATTTTGTAAGAATTATATTTGTAGAATCATTTTTAGATTCTTGGTATATGAATTAAATGCTCATATTATGAATAAATTAAATGAATGCCAATATTTTGTGGTTATAATTATCTCCCTTAATGCACAACTTAGTCTAGTATGTGTTACTTCCCTTTTGTGTTTTAAGGGGAGTTACTCTTATCACCTTTTTTTATATCTTTTATAAGAGTAGTTTCCCTTTGATCTGTATATGTATAAAATTTTAAATAGCTTTTGATTAAGACAGTGGGAAATGTATTGAAATAAATACTTCATTTGAAATCAGGCATACACATTTTCATAGATAAATCCCTTAAATTCATTATTAAATGTTTTAAAATGAAATAAAAAAAATACAGTAGGTGAAAGGTTATTGGAATGGACTTGTCTTTTGCTGAGTTCAGAACTGTTCCATTTTACGTTTTAGGTAAAAGAAATACAAAAATAATAAAAATAATCAGTAAACAAACTACAGTTTAGTTAGGCTTCACTTACTGTCCTGACTGATGGAATGTCATATTAAAATAGAAATGAGTTGGCAATTGTTATGTTTCTCGATTTATTTCAAATTAAAAATTACTGTGACTTGTTATAGTGCCTCAATATATTTCTTGTTTGTTACTACTAGATGTTTGGGTGCCTAAATTAATAATTCAACCTGTGTATATCCTGTAAAACCAAGTGTACAAAAGGTGAATATCAAGTATATAACAGATGAATATCTAGTGTACATAAGACATATATCAAGTGTACATAAAGTAAATGAAGTCTGACAAGACTGTGTACTGCAACTATTTTACCATTCTGATACAACAAAACACTATATATCAACAATGGGCTGTTGAAAATCTAAAGCAAGCCAAGTCCATTGCACTTATTGTGGGCAGGTTCATAATGAAAAGTATCTCTGCGATTTTATGCACTTTGATAAAACATTAGTAAAAATATCTAATATTTCTCCTAACTTTGTGAGATATAGCCAATATTCCTTTAAAAACAAATATCCTCGTTGTGTCTATTGTCAATTGTTATATATTAAGGAGTGGCCTAGTGGTTAAGGTGATTGTCGGTCAACCAAGGGGTCATGGACCCAAGCCTTTCTCTCGTCACAACCAGGTTTTCCTAATGACAACAGTACATTTAGTTCCAGGAAATGGATTTGAGACGTTCATTAAAGCATCTGCGTCTGCTGCAGGAGTAAGTGTGGCCTTCGGTGCTCCCATTGGTGGAGTACTCTTCAGTTTGGAGGAGGTGAGTGTCTCATGCTCAGCAAAATTTACTGTGCTTCATAAAACACATGAAGCATGTTGTTGAGGCATAAAGTCAGTGATTTTTCTCACTTAATTGGCAAGAGGCTTTATCCTCTTGATTTTTGGAAAAATTATCGCTAAAATTGCTTATTTTTGAAGTAAAAAAGCAGGTTTTAGTTCAGATTTTTGAGAAAACTGCATTATTTTATGGAAAATTTCAATTGGGAAGAGGCCTATTAGTTTACTATAAACAGGAGTATCCATTGGTGTTACAGTATTCATGATTATCTGTCTATCCAGATTGCTAACAGAAAGTAGAAATTTCTACCCAGTCAGCCTACTTATTCAAACTTGATTTTATACTTAAATTTAATAATTTAAGTCCTCCTTTTAAACAGTACATGCCTCCAGATAAGCCATATTATTTCAAGAAAATCAGCCTTGTGTAAAATGTACTAATATTTAAAGAAAAGAAGAAATATACACAATTTAATAGGTAATTTCCAAGTTATGTGCAATTAATGACTGATTTCCAGCATATATTAACATATTTCTACTGCATCACTAAAAACAGTAAAATGGCTAGTTTTGCATATTCTCACATATGTTTGGTACTGTACTCACAAGTGATCTAAAACAGATATTTAAACTAATCAAATATTTTCATCATCTCTTTGGTCAATCTTTAGATAGCAAGTGATATGAAAAAGTTAATATTTACAGACTTCTTGTGAAAATGGAAACACCATGTTATTTTTCCCCAACTCCTGGAAATCTCACATAATTATGTAATCATAAGGGATACACAAAATCTAGACAGCATGATTTCACATAGCAAAACATCCCAGTAACAATTTTGCAATAAAACATCAACAAATGTAAAGCAGCTTTACTGATGGAAGATCTTGGTGAACCCTCTGTGCATTACTTCAGGTACAAGCACTGGCACAGTGTAGAACCAACCACCCGATAGCTTCCTCATATGGAAAGGTCGCAGGTGGATTTGGACCCACAATGGTGAGAGGGGCAAGAGGTTCAAAGTCACCATCATTAACCATTCAGCAATGTGGGAGCCATACAATCGCTGTCATATACATGTATCGTCCTTCAAGCTTCCAACAAGTACATAAGGACAGAATCAACAGAAACATGTACTATAAATAACTCATTTTTATGAAGAAAGAAAAAGTAAAACAAACACAAATTTCATTTGATTTTTTGTATTTTTTGCATCATTTATGAAGTCACACATTGTGACCACAGATATCATTACACAAGAATGTTTTATACACTCAATAATCTATACAAAATTGTACAAAAATTTTATCAACAATCATGAGTAAAACAACAGTGAAAAAAGGTCAGTAAGAACATTATAGAGTCCAGCTGAATTTTTATAATATATATGGCAATATAAAAGAACTTGAAAAATGTTTAATTTGATTTTTTTTTTTAAAACAAACTTTCTCGTTAGGTAACTTAATTTGATATCTATTCAAGGTGGATTTTGAAATTCCATTTCGGCAACAGTTCTGAAATTTTAAGAATAAAACTTTTGAACGAAAAAAAAAATGTTTTTGTTTATTTTAATGGTGATCTTCAGTTTAAAAGAACATTTTAATCTTTTTAAACCAAATTTGTCAATACTTTCATTATTTACGTAAAAAAAACTAAATTCAAATGGACTCCTAGAATTTAATAAAACAAAGTGACTGTAAAATACATACAGTGATTTACTAAGTTAAAACTGAAGTTGCAGGTCTACTTTTCTTTTTAAAATCTGTCGATTAAATAAAAATGGAATCTTTTTCTATGGATAATAGATTACATGATTTGTTCAACTCCATAAAATACCTGTGGCATTTTCTTTTATTATTTCATTATTTAAATCAAAGCCACGTTCCTCTTAAGTTAAAACTGACAATTATAAAAAGCTATAAAAAAAAGTGTGTCAAAATACTGCCCCTTTGCAGTGCCACTCTTTAAAATTAAAAAGTTACACCTAAAAATCCCCGAAACTAAAACCAAGAACAAATAACAAAATGAACGAATTCACAACTTTTTTCATTAATACTGTATTCAAAACTCACTCAATTTTGCATTTTCAATTAAAACTGCTGTACCTAAAAAAATGAGTAAAATAAATTCTTCTATGCCTGCTGCCTGTTAGATAATGTGCATTAATTTACATAATTAGTAGTAACTCATTTGCATATCTTACATATTCAAAGATTCTGGCTTATTTGCATATCATACATATTCACAGATTCTATACAATTTTCAGACATACAAAAAAGGAAAGGTAAGAGAATCACATATAAGATGAAGAAAAACATTCAAAGAATACATTTTTCATATTATTCAAAACAGAGTCTTGATGTTCTACATTTTTTACTTTCATATTCCTGATTTCTGAAAATTTTGAAATTACCAAATACAATTGTGGCGACCAAAAATAAAAAGACAAATATTTTCTGCGATACATTTTATATACCATTACTTAAATAACCAATCAGTGAAGTTTTTATAAAAGTACATAATACTGCACAGATGCACCAATCAGAGACAATCATTCATTTTTGGTTTTTAAAAATTTCTTGAAAAAAAAAATTTTAATGAAAAAAATGTAAAATCTTCATGTTTTTCACCATCAGAGAACAAACAAAATAGCACATTTATATTCAATTATGTCACAACATCCAATTAATATCATTTTTAATGTTTACAACGTAAATGTTCTAAATCGAAATGTGTTTTCCTTCAGTTTTTTTAACATTTCATAGTTCATTCTAATTTTGGAAATTCCCTTTATGAGACAATGTGTCCATCAGTGATGAGATCCACTACAGGGGTAATATCTGGAACTGATGATCATGATGATGATTGATTTGATGATAAATGATTGATGAATGATTGAATGTGTTCATCACTAAAAGCAAATATCTTGAGGTACATTTGTTATTTCATAAGAAGCAATCTAATTGGTTGATATTGATCATGTGACATATTACTGACCAATCAAGTAGCACCTTTTAACTTGATTATCAAGACCATCTGAAATGATTTTGATGTAATTTAGCATCTTAAATAAGTTAAATATCAAAATTGGCACATTTTTGCACTTTTGAAAGTGTCTGTTTTGAAATGAAAAGGGAAGCAACTTTTCATTACACTATGACATCTTTGAAGAAGAGTTCATCAATTTCATTGCACAAGTCGTCTGGGTTAATAGTGTAACTTCCCGAAGTAGTTGTACTCGCGTCATCACGGCACGTTGTTGCCATCTCACTCATGGTCTCTATGTCACCAACGGAATACCCGATCCCTGGCGTTGTCATTTGTGTCTCTAAGAACGTGTCTCTAGCACTATTCCCACTTATTGTGAACAGTTCTTGCTGTTTTAGCGGGGTTTTATACATGGTTGAACTTGACACAGGACTAGATGGCAGCATTTTACCGTAACTAGCTACCGTAGTATTTGCAGTTACACTATCGTCACTAAAACTAATGTTTCTCGGAAAACTGTCTGTTGGAATGGGTGGTGGGGGTCGCCGTGGTAACATCTGGTTGTGTCTCGACCTGTGACTGTGGCGGTTACTGTAGTAATTAAACTGTTTGCCTTCTTCTGAAATAACAAATACAATACATTAAATATTTTGATTTTAATGTAAAACAGAAGAATTTCATGCTATAATTTACAGCAAGATTTGAGAAGAAAACCTTCAAGTATGACTATTAATGTAAACACTGTAAGCGATAATCAATACTCTATATAAATAGCATTGATGATGAAATAAGATTATTCATTAGACATGTATAATTATCTGTTTCTTAAATATGATGGTCATTTTTATCATACGATTACGATGTCAATTATCTTCTATACATTATTATTGTGTAACATAACAACTCATTAACAACGGTAAGACATATATTGTACCAGGGGTTTCTACTGATTTTTAATAATGAAACGTAAATTATCACAAAAAAGAACAATACAACAATACTTGTGTTAAAATAAACTCTTCTGGGGTAAAAGAAAATACATCAATGTATCTAAATTTAATCTGATTACATAATTTTAGTCAGTAGCCGATTAGTTCTAACACTGTCAAAACAGGGGTGTTGTGATTTTTACTCCTATCATACCAAAAAGTTTCATGAAAATAAAAAGGGGTCTGCAAATATTCTGGGCACTTAATAAATTTTTCAAACTGTCATAAAAAAAAGAAAAGAAATCACCCCTATTTTGCGCCAGAAAATTGAGAAGCTTATATTTTTCCTAAAGGAACCTAAATACATTTATGTACAGAAAACATCAACCTGTATAATACTTTTCTAATAAGCAGCAAGTTCTTTTAATCTTTTTTATGGATTGACTCATGCAATTCGCCTTTCTTAAGGTAATGGATTTGTAATTATATTCAGCAATTTACTGGCATTAACATGGCTAAATAAACTCATCATTTTTCAGCCTAACTGCTAGCATTTTCAAGCCTAATTTCCAGCATTTTTAGCCTATTTCTACCATTTTTAGCCGAATTTTGGTATTTATAGCCTAATTTTAGCATTCTGTCAGTCTACACAAGCATTTTGGCATAATTTTAACATTTTTAGCCCAAATGTTATAAAACAGACATGTACATGTACAACAACTGATAGTGACACGAAAAATGCTGGATCTATTGTTTGCATTGTTATTAAACAGAAATGCTGAATCATCATTACAAACTCATTACCTCACAATTAAAAATTTTCGTATTTTTTTTTTCTTTTCTATCTACAGAAAACATTCAAATCCATGCTTGTGCTTAAACACAAAACAAGGGAGCCAAAAAAAAAATCAGTGAAGAAAAAAAAATATCCTGAAAAATAAAGCGGGGGTCGTGCGGCCTACGTTTCGTTCACTTACCCCCCAATATGCTCTCATCGAGCACGTGTCTTAGCTAAACATAGCATTGGTATAATATAGCTGAAATAGCAGTGTGGTTTATAGTGTCTTACATAGCCTACTAAATTTTTCTTTTTTTTTTTATTTCAAATCAATATTATAAGCACATGCCTTTTGTATAAACATTCCAGGTTTTTTTTCTCAATAATATTACAGTGTTTGATATTCAGTGTGAACTATTTAGTGAAGACTAACCTAAATTCTAGAAATATTGAAAGTGACTTTTTTTGGTTCTTCTTTTTCAAGATTATTAATTTACTTTTGAAGATATATACTTTACAGGTATTTAATTTCAACACATTTAGATGCTCCATCTTTTCTAAGATGCTATCAAATTTACAAAACATCATTTCTAAAACATCCAATCAAATATGCTTATCTAGATCATGTGACATACTCTTCAAAAATGAGGTAAGAGAAGTATCAAAGAAGAGTGAAGAAATTTTTACAGACGACAAAAAAGACTAGAAATAATTACCTGTATCGCTAAGGGGATGTCCCCTGTTGCTATGTATATCCTCCTCACTACCGCCCCGCCCACTATCGCTAGTTGCCGTCTCGTGGGACGTCTCGCTATGATTGTCGTCTGCTCTTTTCATCATGTGTTTCGACTGAAATTCACACACAAAAAATAATACTTGAACTTTTTCTAGTCTTAAAAATAAAATACTGATTTTACTTATGTTTCATTACAATTAGGCCATAAAAATAACATCATTACTTGATTTCTTTGTAACAATTCATACACAGGGCATAGTTTACAATTCTACAACACTGTAGACATCTATATGAGTTTTGCTACTTTTGCAAAAAGCATGAAATTGGAAAGTACGAAAGTTATGAACTTGTTAATTTAGACATCAAAAATAAATGACTGATTTATAACTATAGTTTTGTTTAATGATACACCATATATCATAATAGAAAACATATTATCCCACTCATTCAACTGACCATCAAAGAGTTTTTAGATGACCACAAGTAACGGTAACATGATTTTTACTGTCAAATAATTGTAAAACTTCACCACAAACAAACTTGTCGTCATAAAAAATATAATTTTCTGGCCATAAAAAGCATGCTTGATTTTGATACACTTATGATTAAGTCTTATTTTTGCACTCAAGTCATGTAAAAAGCTTCATAAATTAGTTTTGCGATCTCGAGGAAAATCACTTTGCTTTAATTTCCTAATCTTTGGGTTTAAATGGACATCATCCACTTGGTTTTGACTTTAAACAAACTCTTGAAATTATGGTTAAACAAGCAAACTTCCTCGAAAGATTTGGATAGCTCTTGACAAAATTTAAAAGTCCAATGTTTGTGTAAACAGACGCATGTTTAAAATAAGACGCCACGAGTCTAAGCACTGGATAATCATGAATAATTCATATGGGGAGATTATTCTTAAACTTAAACAATATTTGAATAACTAAAATGCATTGGCTGAAGTTAATTTACTTTATGTTACATTTTCTGTTTCCAATGATAAAAAAACTTGTTCTCAAAAATGTTCACTAAAAATATTGATCTATTTGGTGGCAGACTAGTGAAATTGCACCAAGGGAGACTACTCACCTCTTCTTCTCTGACTGGTTGTAACCACAATCTGTCAGAGTTACCTCCCGCTATATGGTGTAATCCATTCTGTAGTTGACTGTGTGTAAGACTAGATAGCTCTTTCTCGCTGTACATGTCTTGTTTACTCATATCTGAGGACATTGTATTGTTACATAACCATGTACTTGATTGTGTATCCTGAAAAATAATAAAATAACTTTTAGAAATAAAAATATTTTTCAGGGGGAAAATAGATCTATATCCATTTTTTTCAAAGCAATCTGCTATCAGAGAGGCCGAGACTTTACAAAATTCTTTCTTTCTTGCCTCAAATATCAATGTAAGACATCCCAAAAGAAGATCAATTTAATAAAATATTGTGATGCATTATGGGAAGATTTGAAAAGCATCTACATTTAACTATAAGTCTATTGTTCAATTATTTTGCTAAAAAAAGGATGAAAAATCAAACAAAACAAAAAGACAAAGATTCTTCAAAGAAAATCTGCATTTTTGTGAATGCTTAAATTTCTCAAATTACCACAATTTTGTAATTCAGCTTAACAAATAAAGTTCAGATTTGCAAAAAACTGTTCATCAAATCAACATCTATAACAAATCACTCCCTCCCCCCCAAAACTTTGACTGCTAACAGAGGTCTTAGTTATTTTATAATTTAAGAAATAGCTTAATTTCACCTTAGAAGTTAAGTCCTATTTTGAAGATGATACAAGTTTATTACTTTAATAGGCTAAAAGCCAAAATTTATGGACTTATTTATCTAACATTATGTAGACAGAATTATAGGTCATTCAATAACAGTTTAAGTCCATTGAAAAATTATGACCATTTCAAACTTGCAGAAATTTTAGTGTATTTTAATGGTCAACATTTTGTTTATGACATGGTATGACCCAAGGAGCAATGTTTGGTCATACACTGTTTACTTTAAATGATACATTTTAAATTGAAAATCAATTGAATGGCTTTATTTTGAAAACTTTATCAAAAGGAAATAAAATCTTGGTTTAATGATGTCCACTTTAAGACGTTCTCTCATTAAGATAGGGCTGAAAACATCCAAGGTTTGAAAAGTGAAGAAGATTTTAAGGTTTTTGAAAATTGCCTGAAAATCTAAACAATTCATTACTGCTACATTAAAGTAAACAAGCAAATAATTGTGTTCAGATAACCTTAAACATTGTTAAACTTTTGACACAAATTAATAACCTAGAGGTTACTTGTCATCTAAATTTTGGCGGAAATAAAAGATTTAAATCTATATTTATATTTTCTTCAAGCTTTTCCTCAGAAAGAATGATAATCGGCCATTAAATCTTGTACCATGTAAAGTCATGATTTTAAGGGAAAATGTATTTCGTACACTATTTTCACCTATTCATACCTTAGATGACATCTTTAACAACATGATTTGAGCAATCTATTAACCCCACTATGATACATCACTTCTTTATCTTAAAAAAATATCCTCATAAAAAAGACAAAATCGCTACAAATCAAATAATACTGTAATAAAAAATTAGTAGGAAAAACCACAGATAAAGTTATCAACTTTTATAATGTTTCGGTTAATAACTAGGGTAAATAGCTTTATACATGTTAAAAAGTTTGTACAAAAAACTGTCAATTATGAATGGCAATTTTTAATGTGAGGAAATGTTTTCTTCTTTTTATATTGGTGGGGTATAATCGAAAAGTATTAGTATCTTTATGCATGATTGTAAATTTCCTTTTGTTTCCATATAAACTAGTACAACAGATACTGAAGAATGAGGAAGATATCGCCAAAGTTTTTATGAATCAGAAATTTGAGATAAATTTGAGTAGATAATCAACAAAGTTCAAGCTGGACATAAAAAGTACATAAATTCCTCCAGTCTTAAAATCAAGCAGTTATCTTTCCTTGATATTATTTGCACAGAATATAAATTTAAATGTTAAAACATGCAAATTATTCACAAATCATGTGACATGTACAAATATAATTATACAACAGTCTATGTGTATAGTCGTATATATAAACTGTTTGGAATCAAAACTACTCGTTTTACTATTAATTTATTACAATGCCACACTTATGACATAGCAAAATTTGTTTGATATTTTTATTAACTTTGGAAAGTTTGAATTTCTTAAAGAGTTTACAAGTACAACATAAGTCAACAGCCCTGTAAACTGATGGTGTGTACTTTATGGAAATATCGTTTAGTCGGCAAATATTTGAATATGTCAACTGAGTAATAAGAAATCTGGTCGTAGGAAAAAAGGACGCGATGACCACCTGGATGTGTATGTACAATGTATTTATCATGAATTAATTTTCTCCTATGCAAAAAAAACAACAACAACAAAAGGAAAAACATGTACATATTGCAATTTGAAAATTGGAGGGAAAAAGTCCATTATAATAGTTAATACCTATTTGCGGAAAAAATAAAACAATTACATTATTTAATCGAGCACCTTTTCATTTCATCATATCACTAGTACATTTTAGTAAAAATTGAGGCCTCGTGTATTGACGTCCTTCATGATAAAGATATTTGTTCATCACATGTCATCAATTCTAGACAGTTTTTTATTTATTATAACATCTTTAAACATGCTTTAATTAGGTATTGTGCAATATACTATGATAAAATTCTTTATTGAAGTAAAAATTTAGGCCCCACTCATTCAAATTCAAATTTTTTGCGATTAAGTTTTCATTCAAGAAAAAAAGATGACAAAAAAAAGAAAATTTCATCACATGATAGGCATCAACAAAAATCTTATCACTTTTAGCATCATTTAACCTATAAACAAAACACAGCTTATCTGATGTGTAATAGGTCTAACAAATTATGAAATGTTATCAACCTAGTTAACATTATCTAATAAAAAAATCTTATTTTAATTGCTGGCGAGATTTTTATCTACCATCTAGTAAATCATACAGCTTTGTCAGTAAGAAAATTTTGCCGCATATACAGGGAAAATTAAGAGACCTATAAATATAATTTTAATACGTCCTGACCAAACGTTAAAACATTAAAGAAACATCCCGAGGCCTTTTTATTCCTTTAATGTAGACAAGCAAGTGGTCATTAAAAACAGTGTCGTAATTCATTGTAAAATGAAATACTGACAAAATATCGAGGGACGTGTGTTTTTATTTTACCTAAACAGTGGACAAACAATATTTATTTTATGTATTTAGTGTTGAACTCAATGCATAGACTTGAGTACCCACGTCAAAGCAGTTAACTATCCATTTCAAATAAAGTCGAAGTAAAAACATTTTATCAGAAAACAAGACCGTCTTCTATTCACCTATACTGAAGTAGGCTGGAGATATTAAAATCACCCCAAATGGTCGAATTATAACAATACATTTTAATTACATAAGAGTCGTTGGAACAGATTTTTTCACTCGAATAATCCTCCGCAGGAGGGCTATCGCACCCCTTAACATGATTTCAAAAATTAAACTTTTATATAAATATTCGTAAAACATTGGATAACCTTTATATAGGAATGACTTGATTGCAGAAATCAGGCGTAAAAACGAACAATCATTATTTAGGCTCTTCAAATTATTCCCTGATGACTATGCATCTGAATTTCATTTAAAATGACAAAGAATTGAGAAGATTGATGTAAAAAAAAACCCCCACAAAATCAAATTGCGAGAACACATTGTCACAACATAATTTTTTTTTTCTGAAACTCTTATATTAAGTATTGCTACAGGTCTATAAACTTATAAATATAAATATAAAATAAAACAATAGTCTTACCTCTGGAGATTTAAAATCCATGGAAAGATATGAAGGTTTGACGGTTGAGAAAGACGTCACGTTGGTCAACGTAGAATTATTGCCAGGGTCACTGTAGTCCTCATCTATTGAAAAACTAACTTCTTTTTTGGCTCGTTTTTTCAACAATTCTGTATCAGAGTCTTTAGAAACACTTGAAGTTGCTGACATACTTTCGTCTATACGTGGCGGTGCATCGTAGAATCTATTTTCGTTGATCTTTGGTGGCGTTCTCGCACGATTTCTCTTGTCAACATAGCGTAGTATGAAGATAGACGAAATAATGGCAATTGAGATGAACACAGTAATAGCCACAAAAATGGCAACAAGCATAATGTTCTGTTTATTCTCCTCGGCAACATTCATCAAACTTGTCTCATTTGCTGGTTGAACAACAACATGCAAAGTTGCGTAGGACGTCCTCTGCTGCGTCCCATTATCCCTAACAGCAAGCTGAAGCTTATACTTTTCTGCGTCTTTTTCAGTCATCTCTCTCCCAACTGATATAATTCCTGTGTTCACATCGATCTTAAATAGCTCGCGATCATCCCCTTCGTCGATAAAGTACAACAACTGTGCGTTTAGTCCGTCATCTTTATCAGAAGCTACAACAGTTGCTATGTAGAAACCAACGGGTGATGTAACTGGTACAAATTTGGTGTTGTTTCCGTTATTTGGATAGGTTATAGCTGGAATGTTATCATTTGAGTCAGAGATATGAATTATCACTTCTGCTGTGCTGGTTAACTGCGGGATACCTCGATCTACAGCTTTGACCATGAATTTGAAATATGCTATCTCCTCCCTATCTATTGGTTTCAATGTCTTTATTTCCCCAGTTATTGCATTGAAATGAAAATATTCCAAAAGATAATTATTTTTTGGGAATATCAAGTCAAACTGTCCATTTGGTCCGAAATCTGGATCAGTAACATTCAAATTTTGCGTCTGCATTGCCTGCTGCTCTTCAAGGAAATAAATTTCAACTGGATTTGAAGGAAATTTTGGGGCATTATCATTTATGTCAGTAACGTTTATGACCACGGTGGCTGTAGATGTCAGCGATTCTTCTGCATTATCCCAGGCCAAGACATTAAATATTATAATTGGGTCAACTTCCCGATCGAAAATAGAATTTGCTGTAATTAAACCAGTTTTAGAATTAATTTTGAATCTTGGATCAGTATTTGACTGAAGTCCGTAAGTGACCTTCCCTAATTCACCGCTATCAGCATCTGTAGCAGACACTTGTACAATAATAGACTGAAATACTTCCTCCTGGAATGTCTGTTCATAAACATCGAACAGAAACTCGGGATAATTATCATTCTTATCTTCAACTTTCACACTAATACTGGTTTCGTTCTTTTTTGGCGGACTTCCCCCATCTTCACATTCAACTGTTACTTCATAACTGTCCTGCTTTTCATAATCCAATGGCTTATTCAACACCACTTTGAAATTATTTTCAATCTTAAAGTCCTCCAATCGAAAATCGTCTCCTAGAACTTTACATTTGACCTCGCCATTCACACCCTCATCGTGGTCAAACACGACAAGATGAGCAACAAAATGGCCGGTATCTGCAGCTTCAGATATTTTCGGGCCACCTGGTGGCAAGTTTATATTTATCTGCGGGTAGTTATCATTTGTATCTCGAATAGTGACAACGACGGTGCACGTGCTGGTTTTAGCCGGGTTACCATGATCGAAGGCTTCAACTTTAAATGTCCAATTTTTCTTGTCCTCGTAGTCTAAAATGCTTTTAACTTTAATTTCTCCTGTAGTGATATCAATATTGAAACATTCCTTAACTTTGCTCGGAGTTCTTGAACTGAACCTATACGAAACATTTCCATTGTCATCTGCATCAGCATCCAATGCTGTTACAATGAGAATTGTTGAATTGATTGGAGTATTTTCTTCAACAGTGACGCCATATTGAGTTTTCGTAAATATTGGAGCATTGTCATTTTGATCAGTTATTGTAATATTAATCTTAACCGAACCAGTACGCACTGGAAACCCTCCATCTATTGCATAGATATAAAGCTGATAGAAACTTCTGCTTTCTCTGTCTAGTGGGTAATTCACAACGATATTTAAATCTGAAGTGCCGTCCAAGTTACGTAGCAATTCTAGTCCAAACATTTCATTTTGTGGATCCATAACATATTTTTGTACAGAATTATTAGCTCCAGTGTCTAAATCAAATGCTCCTGGTGTAAAATATGCTTTTTTCACTTCAGAATTTTCTGATATTGCCATGGTGATTTCACTGTTCGGGAATTCAGGTGTGTTATCATTTATATCGTCCAAAAAAACTTGAATTTTGATAATCTTGAATAAGTCCAGAACATCTGTGTTTAGATCTTTAAGGTACACAGCAACGTTAAAGTTTAATACGCACTTCGGTTCATATGGGCAGATATCTTCACGATCCAACTTCGTTCCGGTTCGTAGAGTACTGGCGCTTTCATCAATTGTAAACATTGAAGCAAATAAGTTTCCCTGAGTAAGAATCTGAAATTTCATTTGCGGAAATAATTCGGTATAGTTCTGGTACAAGAAGCTGTCTCGAGCAACATTTCCGACGTAAGTTAACTCCCCTTGCTCTTCGAGTATGTTGTAAGTGATAAGTGTCTCCTGAGCTAGCACTAAGCTGACCGATGAAATGATTACACAAAACGAAAACATTTTTATCCTCGTTCTTACACACAAGTGCGAGACAAAAGATAAGTCACGATATTTTTCAAGTCATTTGCTTCCACGAAAATCACGTTATCACTGCTGATCACAAAAACACGAATGAAGAAAATGATGTGATGAACTGATGAATGTTGTGACACAATTATTTAGTTTGTTTGTCCTTCTCTCATTCATACACATTAATCGAAACAGGTAGCAGGATCTGGAATGAAAGAAGAATAAATATAAATAATAATTCTACATAATATCCATATCCAACTCGTTGTGTGTTATTCCTGAAGCATAAACCCCATATTATACATGAGAATCCATTAGAACATATCGATTTCCACAAAGAAATGAGCATGTTTTTATACTTTAATAATTTGTGAGAATTCGGTGAAGTATGACTGAATGAATTTCAATGTTGTTACAATTCTAAAACACTTGTATGCAAATGACTCTTTAAAAAAAATCTTAAAAGAGCAAAGAAAAAAAAACAAGCTCATGTAAAAAGAACAAAGATTAGATGTCACATTTTGTGAATGTTTTGATATTTTCATTAACATATAAACAAATTAAAACATGATTTTTTTTAACAACTCTATAAAACTGTACATTACCGATCCATCAATTTTGCATTCACAAATATAAAATTCATAAAAAAAAGTGATTAAAAAAATAATTTTTTATTTCATTAATTAACTTTCTACATTACTATCACTGATCGCCCTCATTAATGACATTTTTCTGACATTCATTCATGTATATATATTGACTCACATATAAAAATCTCATAAAACAAACAGTATGTCAAATCAGACATAAACATCCAAATATCAACTTTTTGCAAAAGTTTTTAAATTTTCCGCACAGAAAAACCAAGAAAATAATAAGTCGTCCTTACCAAGGAAAGAAAAAAATGCACTTCAAAATAAATTCCTTATATGAATCAATTTTACTATCTCCGAATTACATCATGGTGAAAATCTGCATCAGCCATCAGTTTAAGTGCATCACAATAAAATATTTACGTACAGCACAAAACACCAAAGTGACCGTACACCTGTCTACCCCCTACCTATTGAATAGTGACCAGTCAATAATCCAATATAATTACAGGTACATTAACTGGACATAAGGTAGGACAAACTAAACACCTTGACCAATCAGAGAGCAGTATTGGCCTAGAGTGGGCTGAGCTTACGTTAACATTTGGGGACAATGACCAACTAGGACATATGATAATTTACACCATGTGTACGATTTAGTTGCCACTGATTTTTATGGGATTTGTTACACAATAATTTGTATAAACAATGACATTAAGTAAACAAAGGTTTATGATAAGTAAAAATCCAAAATAAGCTACTGCAGTCTATTAAATGAACAGTCAAGCTTTTGAAGCACTCTCTTTACATAGTTTAAGATTTCCCACTACTTTTAACTGTATTAAATTTTGCCAAATATAGGCACTATTGTTTTACTACTAAATTTTCTGATAAACATCATTTCTTACTTAAAAAAATATCATATTTACTTTGAATTAAAGAATTTACAAGCTTTTAAAGTTAAATAAGTTTAAACATTTATTCCAAATTCCAAGTAATCCATTACTTACTTAACATGTCAATTTATTTAAAAAAAATATTAAAACTAGCACATATAACATCTTTCTTGATCTAAATAAGTTTTAATATTAATCAATACTTTTTTTAATTTTTAAGTTTTGTTATTTTTTATTCTAAAACTTTACTCACATTTCTCATTAAACTGTCTTTTTCAAGTTTCTGTTTAAATATATCTTCAACTATCAAACTTTGATTAATAATTAATTCAGATCCAATCGCTACCCAAACAACACCTGGAGAGGTTATACTCTGAGAACAAGTCAGTGGTATATTTAATACTTGGATTCCGCTCAAAGTGCGAGTTTTCACAGTTTCACAGTAAGCGACTAATATGTGTGACACATGAATAGGGTTACCAGCAGAAGTTTGTCAATCTTTGTGATCAGTAGTTAATTAAATTGTAATTACCAGTAAATACTAATCACCCCATTGTTGTTTGTAATTATACCATTGTTGTATGTAATTAGGTGACCAGTAGTTTGTTTTCCTGTGATTATAGGTGTAATATTAGATAAGTGTGTCAGGAATAAACTTGAAGAAATTATGTCATTCATGTCAAAGTTTTGTAATAATATGAGGTAAGTGTGGGGTTAATTATGTTAAAATTACATGACCATTTCCTTTCAAGAGATGAAGTAAGCTTTTTGTATTATTTCATTTTTTCTATCTTTAATTTGTTATTCATTTGTAATGTTTATTTTTTTTTAAACACAAACAATATCTTATAAATCACAAAGATACATGTTAAAATATGACATTTAACATTTCATTTTTTTAAACATAAAAATGTTCAAATTCTTTATAAATCTGTTCCATTTAATTTAAACTTATTTACTTACATTATAGGAATATACTATATTTCCTAGTCAAGTCCAAAAAAATGCAACACAACCAACCAAGTTATAATAATTCCAACATTAAATATTTAAATGACATATAACTAAACCATCAAGGTTAAGAATAAATACAAGTTTTCTTGTTTAGGCTTTTATTTAAAAAGGACATTAAAGTCATTCAACTTAACATTGTGACAGACAGATGCAGTTCCTGTAAAATACAAATATCAATTTTATGTCACCATTTTCTATCACTTAAAATGCCAATATCTTTTCTTTTTATTCTTCCACAATTATTGTACTTTTGTACAATTATTGTACGTTTTGACCCGATATTGGTTTAATATATAACTCTATACGAAACAGACATGCATCATATAAAGTTTCGACAAGATCAGCAAACAAATAGGATGACCTGTTTTTCTATGTCAATCAGATTTTCATCAAACTTTCTTACACATCAGTAATGTGTTGACATATCTAACAAACAATGGATAATTTTATAACCAAATGTTGTTGTGTTTTTTTCTGAAGACCAATAACTGATCAACTAGTCTAGACATGCAAAGTTTGAAAGTTTTAATTTTATTTCTGCCTATAAATTTCAATTAAGCAAAAACATCAATATTTCTGAACTCCTGTCTTCTCAAGATTTAATAATACATTGAATAATTCTTGCTTAATTCATGAATAATTCTTGCTTAATTAATGAATAATTCTTGCTTAATTAATGAAGTATTCTTTTTTAATCAATGAATAATTCTTGCTTAATTCATGATCTTTTTAAAGCCATAGGAAAGAAATTTGCCTTATAAAATACTGAATCTTCAAAAATATTCTTGTTTTAAACTTTTTTATACATTTTCAATTTATTTCTTAATATCTAAATTAAATTTCTTTTACACAATTTCCCTGGTTTACAAGGAAAAGCCAAAATAATCAATGCTGGAACTTGTCTAGTCATATTTTGTTTATTTGAAAAGTTAATCTACAGTTATCAATACATGTAATTTACATGTAAAAAAAAAGTTATCAACAACAATTTTATCAGCTCATATCATAATTTTCATACATTCATACAGTATATTAATTAATAACAATTTACTAACAATTTTTATCAGATTTTAAAAAAAATTCACAAGAATTTATGCTTAAACAAAAAAGAGAACACCACTTTGTATTAATTTTCAGCAAAAGTTTTATCATCTCCAAAAATCTTTGACACTGATACTAGTGTAGACAAATCAGAAAAATTTCTGACTTTTACTATCTGAATTACAATCTCAGGAGAATGGACATCTTGATAAAGATTTTCCTAAGTGGAATGACACTGATCTATTTAAGTTTCAGCTTAAGAAACAGTTACATAACTTCTATGTTATACTTTTATCTTTACATTCAAATAGAAGTGCAGTTAGTTTTTGTTTACTGATGTACACCATTGTGATTTCACACTGCATTACTTATGTCAACATGTTTGTTTAGTTTGTCAATTAGAGGTTAATGCACACTTATGCCATTTGTCAACAAGAAGGACTATCATCTATAAAAATTTCAGGTTGAACGTAAAACCGATGTAACTTATGTATAAAACAAGAAACATGGCAATGCCATGAAACCAGGTTTTCAATTATCACCATTGTAGATAAATATGTTGTATTTGAAATACAAATACAAGCAACAAACAATGTAACTATGTGCAATGTAAAACATGAATAATGTAGGAGGAATTGCCACTGAAGAAGTGTTCACTATAATATTATGTATAAGGAAAAAAACAAAGGACCATAATTAGGTCAAAAACTATCCAATCACAAAACCCCGACAATATGTGCCAGGGTGCTTGATGACAAAGCTTCTGTGAAAGTTTGAACAAAATCCGTTGAGAAATGTAGGACGAGTTCAGCACAGAAGAATTTGTTCACTATAATTATATTGATAATTCTGTATAATGAAAACAAGTTACAAAGTAGACATGAAATAATATATCATATCTTTTTTAAATTACCTCCAAAGATAATATGACCTTTGACTGCCAAATCAAGTTAAAAATCATGTAAACAGGATTTTCAATGTTAATGTCACTGTGACCTTGACCTTGGAGCCAGCCATGCAGAACATGCGTTCTGCACGTCATCTTGATGTGGTAAACATTTGTCTGAAGTTTCATCAAAATTCTTCAAAGGGTTGAAGAGTTACAGAGCGGACAGGATTTTCAATGTTAATGTCACTGTGACCTTGACCTTGGAGCCAGCCATGCGGAACATGCGTTCTGCACATCATCTTGATGTGGTAAACATGTGTCTGAAGTTTCATCAAAATTCTTCAAAGGGTTGAAGAGTTACAGAGCGGACACAATTTCGTTTGACGCCCGCCCGCCCATCCGCCCATCCGCCCGCCATACCCCAATCTAATAACCAGGATTTTCAAAATTGAAAACCTGGTTAATAATAGTTAGGTACATCGATATGTTACAGAATCATTCAACAATGCAGCTTAACCATCGATACTACCAGTACAAGTGACTCTGAGAAAGTGACTCAAACATTTATACATCCTTTAAAATCTTGAAACTCACTCGAGTAGTCCAAGGTCCGCAAATAAAGCTGGACAACCAGAGACATTTCCGTTGTCTGGTTTAATGTTTAAATCCTCTTCAATAGCAGACATATCTAAATGGTGTATAATTTTCTCCTCCTACAGGCACCAATAAATATTACATTCAATGACTTTTTAATCCTCTTTTTACTGACCTA